TTCTTTCTTTCTTTCTTTCTTTCTTTCTTTCTTTCTTTCTTTCTTTCTTTCTTTCTTTCTTTCTTTCTTTCTTTCCTTCCTTCCTCCCTCCCTCCTTTCTTTCTTCCTTTCCTCCCTCCCTCCCTCCGTCCCTCCCCCCTCCCTCCTTTCTTTCTTTCTTTCCTTTTTGGTTGGTCATGGGGCTTGAACTCTGGGCCTGGGCACTGTCCCTGAGCTCTTCAGCTCAAGGCTAGTGCTCTACCACTTGAGCCACAGCCCCACTTCTGGTTTTCTAGTCGTTTATCAGAGAGAAGAGTCTCATGGACTTTTCTTGCCTGGGCTGGCTTTGAACCGAGATCCTCAGATCTTAGCCTCCTGAGTAGCTAGGATTACAGACATGAGCCACTGGTGCCTGGCTTTCCTATTTCTCTTTTGCTTAAATGACTTCCTTCCTTGTAGGCCAAGTTCAATTCCCTCTCCTGAATCTCCCTGTAATACTTCATTGAGTTTTTCTTTTTTCCTTGTCTTCTCTAATACCCTAAAATCTGTGTGTGATTCTCTTTCATTTCAAGCATATACACAAATATTGGTTCCTCTTAGGTGCTAGGCCCCGTGCTAGGTCACAGGCACAGATTGGAGCTTGGTGGTTGTCCTCTTACAGTGACAGTGTCTTAAAACCTGACACTCACCTTGTGTTTCATTATTCACATTTTAGTTGCTTTCTCTACTGGATTATAAGATTCTTAAGGTCAGGGACTTCTTTCTGCCTGCCATTATCTGTCTTACATACATACTTACCTATGCCTTTAGAGAATCTCCTTGATTAATTGAATGTGTAATTTCTTGCACATCTATTACTTTAGAAATTTCAAGATTCTGTGTGTTTTACTGACATTGGGACTCTTCCTTGCTATTAACTTTTAGGTTTCTTGGGGCCATATGGAAGATGTGGAGCTCATTAATGATGGTTCTGGATTAGGTTTTGGGATTGTAGGAGGAAAGACAAGTGGTGTGATTGTGAGGACCATCGTTCCCGGAGGATTAGCGGATCGAGTAAGTCAACCTTTTGTCATTTTGGTCTTATTAATTTAAATTGTATCACTTGGAATGTGATTTTATAATAGGAGTTACTTCGATATAGATTCAATAACTAGAAGTGAAGTATAGCTTAATCATGGCTTATTCCATAAGCGTTAATGCGTACTTTGCTTTAGTTTGAACAGTTCTTCATTCATCGTTTTTAGTTCTTTGCCTGTAATGAACAGGGTTATTGATTCTATCAGAAGACAGTATTTTTTATTAAAAAGAGTTGTTAATGAATACTACATTTTGAACATCTGTATTCTTCTTTAATGTAGTTTCCAAGGCTTAAATGATAAAGTCATAAAGCACAGTGATTATAAATATTTTCCCAAGATTTTGCTTGAATTACAATTTTCTGACAAATATCTACCTAACAGTGTTTCAACTGAAAGTAGCTGATTTAAAAACTTAAAACCCATAGAGGCTGGTGGATCATGCCTATAAACCTAGCTACTCAAGAGGCTGAGACCTGAGGATCATGGTTCAAAAATCAGCATGGGCAGGAAAGTCTGTGAGACTCTTATCTCCAAAAAGCTGGAAGAGCAGCTGTGGCTCAAGTGATAGAGCACTTGCTTTCAGTACAAAAGCCAAAGGGGGCTGGGAAGTTGGCTCAGTAATAGAGTACTTGCCTTGCATGCATGAGGCCCTTGGTTCATTTCCTCAGCACCACATAAGCAGAAAAAAGCTGGAAGTGGTAATGTGGCTCAAGTGGTAGGGCGCTAGCCTTGAGCTGAAGAGCTGAGGGACAGCACCCAGGCCCAGAGTTCAGGCCCCATGACCGACAAAAAAACAAAAACAAAACTAAAGGAAACTAGATGCTGGTGGCTCAAACCTATAATCTTAGCTACTCAGGAGGCTGAGATCTGAGGATTGAGGTTTGAAGCTAAGCTGGCAAGAAAGTTCATGAGTCTCTTATGTCCAACTAAGTTAAAAAAAATACAGAAGTAGAGTTGTAGCTCAAGTGGTAGAGTGCTACCCTTGAGCACAAAAGTTCAGGGACAGCATCCAGGTACCCAGTTTAAGACCTCGTACTGGCGCGCGCACACATGCGCGCGCGCACACACACAGACAGACAAAAAAAACAGATGATAGAGTTTTATGAAACAATATCTGAAAGTTTGTTCTTGTGGTTTCACATTCCACATTACAACCTTTTTTTTTGTTTGTTTGTTTTAAACTTCAGGTGTTAGTCTAAGAAGAATGGCCAAAAGGGCTGTTAAATTTCTCTTCCTTTTTCCAGCTATATTTCTTAGGAAGGTCAGATTTTCTTTGTATACTAGGTCTAAAACGTCTCACAACACTGAGAATGCTGAAAGAAATAGGATAATTCAGCCATCTTTATGTGTCTGTGAGTGTGTGTGTGTGTGTGTGTGCATGCGCTCACGTATTTGCTAGTCTTAGAGCTTGAACTCAGGGCCTGAGCACTGTCCCTTAGCTTTTTCCACTAAAGACAGGTGCTCTACAACTTGAGCCATAACTTCTCTACTAGCTTTCTGGTAGCAAGTTGGAGATAATTGTCTCACAGACTTTTCTGCCTGGGCTGGCTTCGAACCATAATCCTCAGATCTCAGCCTCCTGAGTAGCTAGGATTACAGGTGTGAGCCACCAGCGCCTGGCTTTGAAACCAATTATTAAAGACATTTGGTCAAGCTCTCTTGTCACTAGTACCTTCATTTTTGGAACTATTACTCTTATTTAAATTAAAATACGTACATTTAGTCAGGCACTGGCTCAGTTTCTTTCATTGAAATGGACTGGCTTGGAACTAGTCCTTTCAATTTCAGCATCCTACGTAATTGGGATGACAGATATTCACCACCATACTCAGCTATTTTTTCAGAAGGGGCTTCATCTGTATGCCTAGGCTGGCTTCAAACTTTGGTCCTCTCCATTCTCAGCTTCCTAAGTCTAAGATTCAGGTGTGAGCCACCAGTGCCTGACCCTAAGGGCTTTTTGAAATAGTATTGTTATAACCTAGGATGGATGAGATTTTGTGGAGGTGGTTGATACTTCTTCCTCTCTCCAGCATGTTTGCTGGAGTCTTATTTGGCCATCTGCAAAAATGCAGTAGTTATGGGGCTAGGAAGGTGGCTCAGTGGTAGAGCGCTTGCCTTGCATGCCTGAGGCCCTGGGTTCGATTCCTCAGCACCATATAAGCAAAAAGAAAAAAGCATATAAGCAAAAAGAAAAAAGCCGGAAGTGGCGCTGTGGCTCAAGTGGTAGGGCGCTAGCCTTGAGCTGAAAAGCTGAGGGACAGTGCCCAGGCCCAGAGTTCAGGCCCCACGACCGGACCCAAAAAAAAAAAATGCAGTAGTTATTTTGAAAAAGGTCAAATAAATTTGAATGACATCAAGTAGGTTTCTTTTCTATAAGACTTTTCTGTGCTTTTTAATATACTAATGTGCATTATGAATTTTCACAAGGACATTGTGATGTGCAGAGTTTCCCAGATTAATCCCATTGAGGCACTGTTGGGAAAAGCCCAAGTCTGATTTTCACTCTTTACTGGAAGGCCTTGTCACTGCTTCAGGTCATCAAGGAGGGGAGGGCTTTGCCCATCAGAGAGCTGTAATGGAGAAGCAGGGGCTTATGCCAGACATTGTCATCTGCCTAATACACATTATTCTAATGTAATCCTCAAAACAGCTTTATTTCCAAATTATAGGTATGGAAATCATTAAGAAATTGCTAAAGGTGGCATAGCTTGGGAGTGACAAAATCGCTTCTCTTTTCTCTTAGCTAATGGCGGATGAAATCCCTTCAGCTTTTTATTTTTATTTTTTGTCAGTCATGGGGCTTGAACTTGGGGCCTTGATGCTGGCCCTGACCTCTTTTGCTCAGGTCTAGTGGTTTACCACTTTGAGCCCCAGCACCACTTCCAGTTTTCTGTGGTTAATTGGAGATAAGAGTCTCATGAACTTTCCTTTTTGGGCTGGCTTTGAAATGAAAACCCAAGATCTCAGCCTCCTGAGTAGTTGGGATTACAGGTATGAGCCACCAGTGCCTGGCTTTTTTTTTTAATGTGAGTAATAGGACATGAACTCAGGGCCCTGGGTTCTTACTCAGCTTTTTCTCTTGCAGCTGGCACTCTACCATTTGAGCCATACCTCCAGTTCCGGCCTTTTGTTAATTAATTGGAGATAAGACTCATGGATTTGTCAGCCTAGACTGGCCTCACTGGCCTCAAACTACAGTCCTCAGATCTTAGTCTCCTTAGTAGCTAGAATTCAGTCACAACCACCAGTGCCTGGTATCCCTTCAATCCTTTGGCTGAACACATTCATTTCATGCTTGGGCCATTTGTTTCCTGGTTCTTCTCAGTGTTATACTTGCTGGAACACAGGAAGTAACTTTGTGGTATTTAACATCCCAGTTTGTAACACAAGATGTGGCATACACTCTTCCTATTATCTACTTTGGACAGATTCGTATCCCTCCTACATCCTAGGTGAGCTTTTTTGAGATGTATGGGTGTGGTATCATAGCATGTGAGTTGCATCCATCTACAATCAAATGGATGAAAGTTTGAATTATGGAGCCACTTTTAACCTTGGGCAAATTACTTCTTAGTGTGATTTCATGGTAATTCCATGGTTATGAATAGTTCCAAGACCACCCTGAGGGTTGATGTTTTGCTAGGAGGACACTCAGGGCTTAAGGTACGGGTAACTTTATGGCTGTAAAACAGTGATAGCAAAACAGTGTTATTGTAATGATGCTGTGATTACAATGAAATAATACAAAAAGATCAGCAACAGAAAAGGAGAATGAGATGATGTCCAAGGGAAAGCAAGCTGGTTTCTAAGAGTCCTCTCCCAACAGAGACACATAGGAGCACTTAAATCTTCCAGTAATCCTATTGACAGCTGCCTGCCTGCCTGCCTGCCTGCCTGCCTGCCTGCCTGCCTGCCTGCCTGCCTGCCTGCCTGCCTGCCCTCCCTCCCTCCCTCCCTCCCTTCCTTCCTTCCTTCCTTCCTTCCTTCCATCTTTCCTTCCTTTTTTCCCTCCCTTCTTCCCTCCTCCCTCTTTCTCTCCCTTCATTTTTTGTGCTAGTACTGGGGGCTTGAATTCAGAGCCTTGTGTTCTCACTTAGGAATCTTTGCTCAAGGCTGGCATTACTACTACTACTACTTGAACCAGCTGTTTGCTGGTTAATTAGAGATAAAAGTCTTAAGGACTTTGATGCTCAGGCTGGCTTCCTACTTGAATTCTCAGATCTCAGCCTGTGGAGTAGCTAGGGTTACAAGCATGAACCACTGGTGCCTGGCAAAATTGAATTTCTTCTTTGTAGCTCAACCCTTAATTCTGTTTTTTTTTTTTTTTTTGGTTTTTTTTTTTTTGGTCCAGTCGTGGGGCCTGAACTCTGGGCCTGGGCGCTGTCCCTCAGCTCTTCAGCTCAAGGCTAGCGCTCTACCACTTGAACCACAGCACCACTTCCGGCTTTTTTCTGTTTGCTTATGTGGTGCTGAGGAATTGAACCCAGGGCCTCAGGCATGTGAGGCAAGCGCTCTACCACTGAGCCACCTTCCCAGCCCCTCAACCCTTAATTCTGATATTTGCAAATACTTCTTAATTGAAATTATCATCTGCAACACCATATCAGAGGATTCAAGATGCAAATTATTTTAGCCAAAAGCTGTTAACTGATTAAAGTTATTTTTTTCTTTTAAACTATGTAAGTGGTACTGTCAGAATGTGGTACCTTACTTTACTAAGTTTTTAATTTTCTGTCTTCTATTTGGCAATATGCATTTTTTCCTCTTGAAAAATCTGTGAGTTCATAAACTTTATATTTGAGTGTTTGATTAGCATACTATATTCTTGAATATAGGAATAGCAATTTATTGACTTACATTGATTTATGACTTTTGTTAAAGAATATTAAAGAACATGTTCACACTTGTAATCCTAACTAGTCAGGAAGCTGAGATCTGAGGATTGCAGTTTAAAGCTAGCCCAGGCAGGAAAGTGTGTGTGAGAGACTCTTATTTCTAATTAAACACCGAAAGGCCAGAGTAGAGCTGTTGCTCAAGTGGTATAGGGTCAGCCTTGAGCAAGAAAGCTCAGGGACAGTGCCTAGGCCCTGAGTTCAAGTTCCAGTATCCGTGCATACACACACACACACACACACGCACACATGTACCCCCCCCCACATACATGCACCCATGCACGAACAAAATGAACTTGTATTTTTCAGTGTAGTTGCTCAGTAGACAGTTCGTAACAGTAGAATGTCAATGTGAAAGTATCCATAAAATACAGCCGTTGGGGCCGCTGCAGTAGACAAGGCAGCTGTCATTTTGGTGTCTTTCCTATCAGTCTGATGAATGACTATTTTTGCACTTACAAATTTCCTAGAACACCTGTTTTTGCCATAAGAAGAAAATGTTTGGCTTTCAGTGACAGATGCAAATTACATCAAAATACATCATTTTAAATTGAGTTGAGGTAAAATAGGAAAAAAAATAGTGCCTATGAGGTGACTAAATATAAACTTTGTGGCGTGATGTTGTTTTCCAAGCCAGTTATAGAAGCACATTCTTTATTCTTTGGTCAGACCATAGTTTTGTTCTAGTACATTTGGACTCATGGAGGCAGCTTGGTCCTTATTTTTTGTCAGGACCACTGGCTTCCTCTTGTTTAGACTTCAGATTTGTTGCATAAGGTATAAAATTAACATTAAAGTAGAGATCCAGCAATTCTGTTCTGTTGTTTTTGCTGGGGCTTGCTTGAACTCTGCCTGGGTGCTATCCCTGAGCATTGTTGCTTTAGGTTAGTTCCACTTTTAGCTTTTTGGTGGCTAATAGGAGATAGGGAGTCACATGGACTTTCCTGCCTGGGTTGCTTTGAAGTACAGTCCTCAGATCTCAGCCTCCTGAGTAGCTAAGGTTACAGGCGTGAGCCACCAGCACCCAGCAGGTTCTTATGTTTTTAAAATGTTGCTTTTTTAAAGTTGTTCTTTAAATGACATGATGAATAAAAATGAGCTGTGACTTGTAAGGTACTCTGCAATTATGTGACATTTTGGTATCTTTCCTATACCATAATTAACAATGTTGAGGAGAACTCAAATTTTCTAATACAATACACTTAGAAAAAATGCATTTAGAACTGATAAATTATTTGATAAATTATGTCTTGACTTTCTTGTGTATGAAATACACATACACATAAACATCTGCGCACATTCATTTATTGATTGATTGATTGACTGTTGGTTATGGAGCTTGAACTCAAGGCCTAAGAACTGTCCCTGAGCTTTCTGCTCAGGGTGGAGCCACAGCTTCTGGTTTTCTGGTGGTTAATTGGAGATGAGTCTGCTGGACTTTCTTGCCTGGGCTGGCTTCAAACTGTGATCCTCAGATCTCAGCTTCCTGAGTAGCTAGGGTTATAGGTATGAGCCCCCAATGCCTGGACTGTGCACATTTAAATAGGAACAATTACAATAATAGCCAACAATATACTTATTACCTAGTTTAGGAAACAGTACTGCATATCCTTGCACTAAACTCATCCAGAATCAAGACTTTAAATGACTTATATGCTAATGCACAGATTGGATTTTTCCCCTGAACTCTAGCCCTGTAGTGAACCCAGCTATATTCCTGAAAACTTACTTGCATGTAAGATGGGCATTCCAGATTGCACAGCCTCAAAGCTTAAGTCTTAATTCCCCTTCTCACTCACCTGCTCTCTGTAGTCTTGAGGCTGAGATCTAAGGATTGTGGTTTGAAGGCAGCCTAGGGAGGAAAGTTTATGAGCCCCTTATCTCCAGTTAACCAACAAAAATGGGAAGTGGCACTGTGGCTCAAGTAGTAGAGCACCAGTGAAAAGGAAAGAGAGAGTGCTCAGGCCCCTCAGCTCAAGGGCCAGTATCAGCAACAACAACAGGAAAACAGAATGGCTGCATCTCCACTTTAATGATAATTTTACATCTCATGCAACAAATTTGAAGTCAAAACAACTCCCTAACCAAGGGAAAGTCAGTGATCCTGACAAAGAATAAGGGCCAAATTGCCTCTGTGAGACCACTGGTCCTGAACAGAATTATGGTCTGACCAAAAAGAAGGTCTGAAAAGTAACTGACTCATGTTATTTTGCTCATGCCTTGACTACTCTCTGACAGGCTGCTCAGCTTACTGTTCTGAGAGTTCCTTAGCTTTATACTGGAAGCTTCTATTCTGACCTTCCTTTCTTGAAGGCCAGGCTTTTGGACTGGTTCCTTACATGGCTATCCATTGTCCTCTGGCTCTAGGCCATTATACATGAATTGATACTCTCAAGCAAATATTCATTTTAGAATTCTGATTACTTTTCCCATTTGAACCCTTTGTCTTTTGTGTTTTACAAGGAATGCCTTTACTCACTTCCCAATTCAATAATTCCCAAACGTTATATTTTTGTTCAATATTTTAGGTGCCTTCGAAATTCTTGTTATTTTGTCAGAATTGGAAGTTTGTACCTGACTTATGTAACTGTAACCTCTCTGTATATCCCCTTTATAATAACAATAAAAATAATTTAAACAATTGGAAGTTTGGTGGATTGCTACTAACTAATGAAGTTAACTCATTGATTTTTCTGAATAATTTTTCTTTTCTTGGATTGAAGGATGGAAGACTACAGACAGGGGACCACATCTTGAAGATCGGAGGCACAAATGTTCAGGGAATGAGCAGTGAGCAAGTTGCGCAAGTGTTGAGGAACTGTGGGAATTCAGTCAGGATGCTTGTGGCTAGAGACCCAGTTGGCCAAATTTTGGTAACACCTCCTACCCCTACATCATTACCGGTTGCCCAGCCTGCTGCAGCCAACAACTCTGCTTCTGTGAGTACCATTCTTTACAGAAATAATATAGTACAAAAGAAGAAATCCTTTTAACTTAAAGCATTGGTATCAATAGTACCTTAATGATACCCGGGAAACACAAGAATCCAAATTCAGACCCTAGCCATATCTTAATCTGTTCCCTCCCTTCCCCTTCTCCTTCCCTTCCCTCCCCTCTTTCCTCCTTCTTTTCCCTTCCCCCCTTTTTTTCCTTTCCTTCTCTCTATTTTTTTTCTCTATTCCTCTCTGCCCCCCCCCTCCCTTGAGTCTTTGAACTGTGTGTTTCCTTTGTGACAGGAGATATGATGTGAGGGGCAGAGGGAAAAGTGTACATACTGGTCAATATATGAAAATTCTTGTAAATGAAACTAGTGATCATTCTAAGCAGCTAGGATTGCAGATAAGAGCTGGTGACACAATTTGTAACCAAACAGTGGTTGTTACTATTTTCTTCCTCTCTGATACTATAGCTCTCTGAAGGCTTGTGTAGTGAGGGACCAGGGAAGCTGTTAGGGAATTTGACTCAATTTTTATTTTCTAACATTAGGGTTTGAAAGAGACAGTATTATGGGTTTAGATCTTTATATGTAGAAGACAAGAATGAAAAGTAAGTTTTTTGGTTTTTTTTTTTTTTTGGTCTGGTCGTGGGGCCTAAACTCTGGGCCTGGGCGCTGTCCCTCAGCTTTTCAGCTCAAGGCGAGCACTCTACCACTTGAGCCACAGCGCCACTTGCGGCTTTTTTCTTTTTGCTTATGTGGTGCTGAGGAATCGAACCCAGGGCCTCAGGCATGCAAGGCAAGCGCTCTACCACTGAGCCACCTTCCCAGCCTGAAATGTTTTATTTTTTTTTGTTTGTTTTTTTGCTAGTCCTGGGGTTTGAACTCTAGTCCTTGAGATTCTTTTTCTCAAGGTTATTTTTTTGTTGTTTGTTTTTTGCCAGTCCTGGGGTTTGAACTCTCGTCCTTGAGATTCTTTTTCTCAAGGTTAGGACTCTACCACTTGAGCCACAGCACAGTACTACTGGCTTTTTCTGGAGATGAGTCTCACAGACTTTGCTTCCCTGTCTGGCTTCAAATCATGATCCTGGGATCTCAGCCTCTTGAGTATGTAGGATTACAGGTGTGAGCCATTGGCACCCAGCTTAGGATCAGTATTTTTAATATTACTTATAAGACATAGCCTTTTTCTTTTTAACTAAATTTTCTTTATCCTTGTGACTACTTTTCAAACAAACTATAGCCTGCGATTTTTCTTTCCTTATTTTGTTGGTCATGGGGCTTGAACTCTGGGCCTGGGCGCTGTCCCTCAGCTCTTCAGCTCAAGGCAAGTACTCTACCACTTGAGCCACAGTGCCACTTCCAGCCTGTGATTTTTCTAAGCAGCTATATTAATCTCTTGGTGTTAGTAGAAATTTAGTAGCTTAAAGCAATATCCATTTCTGGTTGCAGTTCTATAGGTGTGAATTCAAGGAAGGATTTCTGGGCTTTCTGTTTAGATTCTTTTTTATTTTTTTTTTATTTTTATTTTTGGGTCCGGTTCTGGGGCCTGAACTCTGGGCCTGGGCGCTGTCCCTCGGCTCTTCAGCTCAAGGCTAGCACTCTACCGCTTGAGCCACAGCGCCACTTCCGGCTTTTTTCTTTTTGCTTATGTGGTGTTGAGGAATCAAACCCAGGGCCTCAGGCATGCAAGGCAAGCACTGTACCACTGAGCCACCTTCCCAGCCCTGTTTAGATTCTTTTAAGACTGAAATCAAAGTGCACGCCTGCTCCTGGCTTTTCTCCACAGCCTGAAAACCATCCGCATTTAAGCTCATTCACATAGTTGGCAGAGCACAGTTTTCAGGTTGTGGACAAGATCCCTTTTTCTTTGCTGGCTCTCAGCCAGAACATCTTTCAGTTCCTTAAGACCCCATTGCCACCAAGGTGCTGACAGTGGCTCCTGCCTGTAATCTTAGCTACTCAGGTTGCTGAGATGTGAAGATAATGGTTTGAAGCCAGCCCAGGCAGAAAAGTCCACGAGACACTTATCTCTTATGAATCATCACCTGCTGGGAGTGAAAACGTTGGGAGACAGTGCCCACGCCTCGAGTTCAAGTCCCAGTGTATACACACACACTTTCTCTCATACACTTTCTCTCTCTCTCTCTCTCTCTCTCTCTCTCCCTCACACACACACACACACAGACATACAGACTCCACTGTCTGCATGATCCCTTCCAACTTCAAATCACACTTCAGTCCTTAATGTTTCAAATCTTTTCCACTTCCCTTCCTGGTTTTAAAGGTACCTGTGATTGGATTAGGTTTACCTGAATACTCTTTCTCTGTAAGTAGCTCTAGGGATTGAAGTCATGGAAAGCATCATAAAATTTTACTATCACAGGAGAAACTTGGCAACCCTTGCACAGATTGACTCAGGACACATGGTTATGTAACTAAACATATGTAATGAAGTTTGTTATTTCCTTTCAGGAAAATTCTCCTCTTTTTGAAACTTACAACGTTGAACTCATTAAAAAAGATGGACAGAGTCTTGGGATTAGAATTGTTGGCTATGTTGGAACATCTCATACAGGTAAATGAATCATTTCTTTTTGTATTTGGAAATCATTATAAAGGATGTTAAGGTTCTAGACAGTAAAATTAAAGACTTGGCAGATTTTAATTTAGACCTTCAACAATAAAACCATGACTCTATAATAGCATTAAGTTACTTTCCAGTGATTAGAGAATCTCTTTTTTTCCTCTAACTACTTTAATAGCTGGCTCTATAGTTACTAACAAGAGAATTTAATTGCCCAATTCAGTATATAGCATTTGGATTATAACTCTTTTTTGCTAAAGTACATATATTTTGAATATGATAATTATTAACATGTTATATAATGTATTGTGTTTGTGATGAAGTAAATGGATTAGTGCATGTGCTGTATGTTAAGAATGGCCAGTAAGTATTACTACTGTGTTTAATCATGAGAAAAGACAAAACAAATATTAGAATAATTTTCCTTTTCATAAAAAGGGAACGTATTGTAATATTAAATACATGGCTCCTGTTATCTCTGAGTAAAATTTCCTCAGCTCTTACCTGAAAGGTTAGCTTTGTTAACTTTCACTGTGAGAGTTTTTCTTTTATTAGAAGAGAATTATTAGGTCAAGTCCAAGTAAACCTTTTTACAAATATTTGCTGGTTACATAAAAATTCAGTTATGAAATGTTTTGATTTATCTGAAAAAGTGGCAAGCTTAGAGTGTTAATTTCTTCAAAAAAATTGTTATTTTGAATAGTTAGAGCAGGTGGAAAGAGCTAATGTATTCAAGTCCTGAGTGAAATTCATGTCAGACTGCCATGTGCTATTTTAGCCTAATGAAATACCTTCTTTTCAAGCCTTCAGATTCTTCTAAGTGTGACCTTTTTTTAGATTCTGAATTTAGACAAGTTCCAGATGTGGCAAAAAAAAAGCATATTGAGTAGTTAGTTGTCAATAGGTGAAGTCTGGTTAAAGTATTCATAGCTTAGTTCATAAACTTATGGCTTTGTTCTTAAATAATAGAGAATGAAATGATGGAAACTTTAATGTTTGTGTTACTGAGTCATTTTACTTCTTTGTTCTTAAAACTCAATAAAGTCTGAACATTTTTCAGTTTTCTACTTACTGTATTGGCACTCTACCATTTGAGCCACACCTCCACTTCCAGCTTTTTGTGCTGGTCTTGGGGCTTTAACTCAGGACCTGAGTGCTGTCCCTGAGAATTTTTGCTCAAGGCTAGCACAAGTTGAAGGGATATAGTGGAATACAAGATCAAAAAATAAGTTTGTTTTTCTTTTCTTTCTTTCTTTTTTTATTGTGAACATACTGTACAGAGGGGTTACAATTACATGGGCAAGATAATGAGTACATTTCTTATCAAGCATTGCAGCCTCCTCCTTTGTTTACCCTTCACATCCCTTTCCAGCCTCCCCCCCCACCCCCAACTCAATCCTTCCCCCTCCCCCACCAAAGTTGTAAAGTTCGTTTTCGACATAACGACTTGTACTTCTCATTGTTGTTTTTCATATTATGGGGAATCTCCAGTGGGATTTTATGACATGTATGTATTATTACGTGGGCATATGTAGGAATATGCAAATGTATACTTTTTCCTAATACATGGCTTTGAGTTTTATTTAAAATTAATAAAAATATAAATATCAGATGATCCAAACCTGTAGTTTTTAATTTTCCAGTTTCCCTTCTAGGTCTTTCCTATAGGAATGTATGCTTTTTGCAATAATCAGATTTTAATAGCCATTGTTCCTAGTTAAATGTTATATAATAATATGACTATTTCATGTTCTAAGCCTATTCTTTTTTTTTTTTTTTTTTGGTCAGTCATGGGTCTGAACTTGGGGCCTGGGTGCTGTCCCTCAGCTCTTCAAGTGGTAGGCTGGCGCTCTACCACTTGAGCACAGCACCACTTCTGGCTTTTTCTGCTTATGTGGTGCCGAGAAATTGAACTCAGGGCCTCATGCATGCGAGGCAAGCACTCTACCACTGAGCTACCTTCTATGGCTATTCTTGTTTTTGTTTTCTTAAGATCATGTGAACTTTTATTTTCCTGTGATTTTTAAGAAAAAAAACGTTTTATTTTTTGGTGCCTTCACTAGGGCTTGAACTCAAGTCTTCTCGTTCTTGTTCAACTTCTTTTCTCCGCTTAAGACTGGGGCACTACCACTTGGGCCACAGCTCCACTTTTAGCTTTTTGGTGGTTAATTGGACTTTCCTTTCCCAGTTGGCTTTAACTATGATCCTTAGATCTCAGCCTCCTAAGTAGTTAGGATTATAGGTATGAACCACTATTATCTGTTTTGTTTGTTTGTTTGTATTTCCTGTGTTGTGTAGTCCATATGAGCACTGATTGAACTGCTTCTCAACAGGAAGATGTATTAGAAGACTCTTGTTTCCTGCTATGCAGGGTGGATGGGAGGGAGGCCATGGAGGGCCGCTCACGCCCCTGAGTGGGAGGCATGGAGGTGGGCCCTTCTGGGCTCCCTTGGAGATTGGGAGTATATTTCATCAGCTTCCTTTACAAATTGCTTTTCCAGAACAGGAGTCATGATCAGTCAAGTCATTTCAAATTCGGGTCACTCACAATGGTGACAGTTTGAAGGAATCCATCAATTCCTCTGCTTGTGTTCAAAATAGTATTTATCAAGCCTCCAGTCAGCCTCTTCAGCTAATTAACCTCTTGATATGAATTTTGCAATCAAGGCCCAATTAGACCTTTCTTCCTTTCTCCCTATGTCTGCACCTTCAGGGGAGGCTTCAGGGATTTATGTGAAAAGTGTCATACCAGGCAGTGCGGCGTACTACAATGGCCAGATCCAAGTGAATGACAAAATAGTTGCTGTGAGTAATTGCACTCTTTTAGATTTCCATTGAGTTGGGAAAAAAAAAACCCAGAAATTTTTTTGCTTATGTCATATTTAGAGAGAAGGGTGGGTAAGTGGAGGTTCATAGGTTTTGAAAATATTATTTCCTCAGTTACCATAAAATCTTATTCATTTGGCCGTGAATAGCCTGAAGTCTGATTTTTTTTCTGTGAGTGAAGAAACAGATCACTAACTGTATTGATGTGGAAAAAGCAATATATTACGTAAATGAGAACAAATATATTTGAAAGGTGTTCTGTTCTACTAGGAAGTTATTTTCCATGTCAGGTGCCCATGGCTCATGCCTGTTCAGGAAGCTGAGATCTCAGGATCTTGCTTTGAAGCCATTTTGGGCAGAAAAGTTGGTAAGACTGATTTCAAATTGGCCAGCAAAAAAGCCACAAGTGGAAACGTGGCTCAAATGGTAGAGTGACAGGATTTAAGAGATAATGTTAAGGCCCTGAGTTCAAGGCCAAGAACCAACATATTTGTGTGTGTGTGTGTCCATATAGATGTATTATATATAGGTATTTTTTTCAAGTCTCTTTTTGCTTTTTTTTGGGGGGGGGGTTCAGTCGTGGGACCTGAACTCTGGGCCTGGGCGCTGTCCCTCAGCTCTTCAGCTCAAGGCTAGCGCTCTACCACTTGAGCCACAGCGCCACTTCCGGCTTTTTTCTTTTTGCTCATGTGGTGCTGAGGAATCGAACCCAGGGCCTCATGCATGCAAGGCAAGCGCTCTACCACTGAGCTACCTCCCCAGCCCTCTTTTTGCTTTTTACACTCATTTCATGTACAATTAATTAAGTAACCACAAATCAGTTCTTTTCTTCTTTTTTCTTTTATGTGTTAGTATTGGGGCTTTGAACTCAGGGCATTGCTCTCTTTCTTGGCTTTTTTTTTGTTCAAGGCTGGTGTTCTACTGCTTGAGCCATACCTTCACTTCCAGCTTTTGCTGGTTAATTTGAGATAAAAATCTTTTGAGGGCTGGGAAGGTGGCTCAGTGGTAGAGTGCTTGCCCCAAATGCACGAGGCCCTGGGTTCGATTCCTCAGAACCACATAAAAACAGAAAAAGTTGGAAGTGGCCCTGTGGCTCAAGTGTTAGAGCACTGGCCTTGAGCTGAAGAGCTGAGGGATGGTGCCCAGGCCCAGAATTCAAGCCCCATGACTGACCAAAAAAAAAAAAAAAAATCTCTTGAATTTTGTCTGCTTGGGCTGGCTTCAAACCTGAATCCTTAGGTTAAGATTAGTAGCTAGGATTGTTGGCACGAGTCACGGGTACCCTGCTCACTAATTTTTCTTTTCCCCATCTCTTTGTGAAAGTAGTTTTTTTACTTCAGTGATTTTAGGTACACTTAAAATTGAAATATTTTATCTATATGAAAATATAACTTTTACTACTTAAACTTTATTTCCCCCATTTAGTGGAAAAAATTCATGTTACCTATTTGCAGAATCTTTATGTTTATATATACAATATACACATACAAGAGTTTTATAGAAACACAGTATGGTAAGATTTGAATCTTCACCATTGCTGTAATTAAAAATAGAGGTGGCTACCTTGAAACCTTTGCTGGATTTGTGTGTTACTGTTTTAGGTGGACGGTGTGAATATTCAGGGATTTGCCAATCAGGATGTGGTAGAAGTATTACGAAATGCAGGGCAGGTGGTACACTTGACCCTCGTGCGCAAGAAAACATCCCCAGCCCAGTCTTCCTCTGAATGGCCTTCTGACACAGGTGATAAATGCCACCGCTCCTCTCCCCTCCAAAGAGCCAAGGTTCACTAAAGAATAGTGAAGATATGCTCTGTGAATTTGAGTAAGAAAAAAATAGTTCATCCCGTGTAACGTGGCGAGGGAGAAATTTGTCAGCTTGTCTTTGTTTATGATAATGTGATAGGGTGTGCACTCTGACAAAGCTCTAACAGCTACTTAATGGAGATAGAAATTACTTTTCAAGAGGCCCCTAAATGTCATTTGTTATTCCCTCTCTCCCTCTCCCCCTTTCCCCCTCTCCCTTCCCCTCTTCCTCTCTGACACACAGACACACAGACACACACACAGATACACAGACACACACACAGACACACACAGACACACACACACACACACACACAGACACACACACACGGACCAGCACAAAAAAAATTTCCCAGTTGCTGAGAAATATTTTATCTTCCTGTTCCTTGTTAAATTCTTTCCCCCTTAAAACCTCATAAAATAGAGGCCTAAATACATGCATTTCATGTGTTATATTTATCCCTCTCCCTCTCTCTTTTGGAGTGTATGTGTGTTAGTGTGTATATATGTGCAGGGACTTGACCTCAGGCCTGGGCGCTGTCTCTTAGCTTTTTCACTCAAGGCTGTCATTCCACCACTTGAGCTACAGCTCCACTTCTGGCTTTTTGCTAGTTAATTGGCGATAAGATCTTATGGACTTTCTAGGTTGGCTTCAACCATGATCTCAGACTCCTGAGTAGCTAGGATTATAGGAATGAGCTACTAGTGCCTGGCTTCTTTGCTTTCTTTTCTTTTCTTTCTCTCTTCCTTCCTTCCTTCCTTCCTTCCTTCCTTCCTTTCTTTCTTTCTCTTTCTTTCTTTCTCTTTTTCTCTCTCCTTCCTCTCTTTTCCCTTCCTTCCTTCCTTCCTTCCTTCCTTCCTCCCTTCCTCCTTTCCTCCCTTCTAGTCAGTCCTGGGACTTGAATTCAGGACCTGGGCACTATCCCCGAGCTTTCTTTTGCTCAAGGTTAGCACTGTACCACTGGAGCTACAATGCCACTTCTGGCTTTTTCTGTTTATGTGGTACTAAGGAATTGAACTGAGGGCTTCATGCATACTAGGCAAGTACTCTACCAGTAAGCCACATTTTCAGCCCTTCTTTGGTTTCTTAATCTAGAAGAATCCTCCATCTCTGCCTCTATGGCATAGACTTTTGGAAGGAACTAGCTCATTTTTCAATGGACTGTCCCACTTTTTTTTTCTTTTTTTTTGGCTGTCGTGGGGCTTGAGCTCTGGGCCTGGATACTGTCCCTCAGCTCTTCAGCTCAAAGCTAGCACTCTACCACTTGAGTCACAGCACCACTTCCAGTTTTCTGAGTGGTTTCTTGGAGATAAGAGTCTCAAGGACTTCCCTGCTTGACTGGCTTTGGACTGCCATCCTCAGATTTCAGCCTCCTGAGTAGCTAGGATTACAGGTGTGAACCACCAGTGCCCTGCTAATGTCCCACTTTTGATGCATTCTTTTTGGCATTATTTAACTTCCTTTTCTAGCTGTTGTTTCTTCTGAGTTAGAAGCTAAAACTAAAGTGAGATTCAGGTTAAAACTTCTACTGAGGGTAGAGGGCTAGGCATGGCTCAAGTGGTAGAACATTTGCCTAGGACTCAAGTTCAAACTGCAATACTTCCAAAGAAAGAAAAAGATCATAAGCAATTAGTAATTATTTAACAAATAACCATAGTTGATTCTTCATCTTTTCTTATGTTTAAGAGATTATAGATAGGGGCTGGCTGAAATGGGAAACTCCTGTCACTTTATTTAGCTCAACTGAGCAATGGAAGGCAATCCTCAGTACCCACAGGGAGTTTCAGTCACCTCATTGCATTTTATAAGGTTACCTAGGTAGACTTGTTTGCTGTACACATCATAGTGTGCCAGAGAGATTTGTTGGTTATGTGCCACAACTAGCGCATAAAACTTTGGTAGTTGTTTCTCTTTCTGAAGGTATATTAAAAAGCATCTATTCTTTGTCATAGATTCAACTTTGCTTTTCTCTTCCATCGACTTGTTCCCCCGCCTCCTTTTTTTTTTCTTTCAAACACTATTAACAAGTTTCTTTTTGGAACTGACTGGTTTCCCAAGGGGATTTTAGGTCAAACAAATCATAGATATAAGTTACCTGAGCTGCTTACAATGAAGTTGTGCAAAGGAAAGCAAGAGTGACGTAAATAAAAATGAAATGAACTTAATAGGAGTGAATAACTACAGCACTTAAATATGGCCATCACCTATCAGTGGTTAAAGTTAGCAATTCTTATTTTAGGAACTGTTGTAGAACCACCCAAAACACCAGTCCTCTGTCTGCCTGATGCTGTGGACACAGAAACGAACTTGGATGAAGATGAGGACAATGGAGAAAGCATGTATAAGGACAACATACAAGCCTTAGACAAACTGGGTAGGCCCAAAGCATTTACCTTGTTTATCATTTCTTCTCTTTATAGCTATATAATGTGAATAATATTGGAGACATCGTGGAGATTTAAAATGGGGTTTTCTTAATGGTGAAATCATGATATTTTGGCAGTAGGATACTAAGCATATTTTGTTTCATCTCTTTTTCTTTAATTGTATTATATTCGAGTGCTTACTCAGTAGTTTATATTATTTTCCCTTTCCTTCTTCCCTCTCCTTTTTCTTCCCTCCTCCTTCCTTCTTCTTCCCTGTCCCTATCCCCCCCACCCCCCTTCCTCATTTCTTTTTTGTACCAATACTGGGACTTCAACTCTGTGCTCTCACTTGGCCTTTTTGCTTAAGGCTGATACTCTACCACTTGAATCACAGCTTCACTTCTGGCTTTTTGTACGCTAATTGGAGGTAAGAGTCATACAGACTTTTCTGCCCCTGATGGCTTTGGACCACAATCCTGGGATCTCAGTTTCTTGAGTAGCTAGGATTACAAGCATGAGCGAGCAGTACTTGGCACTATCTTATTTCTTGTTCTTAGCATTTCTGGTTCCTGCATGTCTCAGTTTGTACATTATTATTGATATATCTGTCTCTGTAGATTACATCTATCTCTATCCATCTAGCAGTGTTTCCTTTTCCACATAAAAATTAATAATGTATACATTTTTGTATGTTGTATTTTTAAAATTTTTTTAGTATCCTTAAGTAGTTGTACAAGGGACTTTCAATTCAACATGTAAGTTTATGAGTATAATGCTTCTTAGTCAGTGTCACCTCTTCCCTCTCCCCCATTTCTCCCAACCCCCACTCATCCTTTCAATTTACCTGGTTCCATTTTCATATATGTACATTAAATATTATGACTATTTGCCCATCCTTCCTCTCTTCATTTGTATTTGTTCTCTTTTTATGGCTTTGCAACTTTGTCCTTTTGCCATGTACTTTGGTACTTTACCAGTTATCAAGGTCTCCCTTTTGAAAGCATGTTGAGCCCCATCTACTTCCCTCCAAGGGAGCTGGGAAGCTTTGCCATGTGGAAGTCCTGGAATGCTCAACACCATCCAAGTCTCAGCTTTCCTTTGTCCTGTCTTGGGAAAGAATAGCCTAAGGAAGGTAGACATTAACATCTCATTCAATTTGGAAACCTATGTTGTTGTGCTTTTTGACTCAGGTAGATAACAATTAGATTTTACTGTTTTAATTTAGTTGATCCCAGATAACTTCAGTGAACTATCAGGTGAAAATCAAACACGTTCTTTTTTATTCTTTTGGTGGTACTAGTTGTTGAACTTGGGGCTTTTTACTTGCTAGGCAGGTGCTCTACCACTTGAGCATGCTCCCAGCCTTTTTTGCCTTAGGTATTTTCTGAGAGAGCCTCATGTTTTTGATGAGCCAGCCTGAACCATCATCATTCTATTTATATTTCCTGGATAGGCATTTTCCCATACCCAGCCACTGGTTGAGATGGAGTCTCATTAACTTTTTTTGGTCATGCTGGCCTTGAACCACAGTCTTCCCAATATTTTCCTGCCAAGTTACTGGGATTACAGGTCTGAATCATTCATTTGATCTTGTTTTTGAGGTAGTCTTACTGACTAGCCTAAGCTGGTCTGAAAGCCTTGGGCTCCCCAGTACAGAATCTGTACTTCATGGAGAAACTTAACTATATTTTAAAGTTAATGCATATGTATAAGAGAGTTCCACAGAGGTCTTCCAACAGCTATGAAGTTAGCTTTCTTTTTTGCCTATAGAATAATTGTTTAAGATAGTCATGCTATTGTTCTGTTTGATCATTGATGCAGCCTAAGATTTACTGAGCTGTTGAAAGTAAAATTAATCTCTTTCTTCTGGCACTCAGGCCTTTGTGCTGTGCTCTAAAACACATGACTGCATTTCCATTGTGTAAGTGAAAGGTAAAAATATAGTCAAAAGAATTGCTGGTGAAATGTCAACATTATTTCATACATGTATATGAACTGTCATCAGACTGCCATGTTTTTAATCATAGAATTCAGCCAATTCATTGCAGATTTTGTTCAGATTCATCTACCAGATAAGAAATTGCTGTCTGGAAGAAATTTAACAGGCAAGATGTTGAAACTGTTAATTAAAGAGTTTAAGAACTCTTGGAATTTCTTAAAGGAATATTAACCAGCAAAGGTACAAATGTGCAGAGCTGAGATGAATTTGATATTTTATTTTTAATAGGTTCTTCGGTTAAGTACTCTCTACGTGTAATCTAGCATGTCTGTTACTAGTTCATGGATATTCCCTTGTAAATGTCATAATTTAAGTTCTTTAGTGTTCATTAGTTTTAGTCTCTGATTTCTGCAGTTTGCTGTTTAACTTAATGATTTGTATTGTGTAATTAAACACCAAAGCACCTGCAATGAGCTATCTGTTGAAGACTGAAAGAGCTGATACTGCACATTCCATTTGACTTTAGGCAGATGGTTGTGTCCATTGTGATAAGTGTTGTGTGATTTGTCCAGTCTTAGGACAAAAGTAAGAGAGTTTAACTTAGAGAAAAGATGGACATTTTTCATCCTTTGCTATTCATGTGGATATAAGTTGAAGTTACAGTTTTAGTACTTTGATCTTTTATCTATTAGGCATTTTTCAAACTACTCACTGTTCTGAGTTTCTAGACAATCATATAGAGAAAGAAAAGACCTTTAAAATCTGTATTAGCTCTTTGGAATGATCTTAATATATGCAATGAAGGTAGTAATACGTCAAGAACATTGTACAAGTCAGGCTGCAGAACTTCACGTCTGTTATCCTAGCTACTGAGTAGGCTGAGATGTGGAGGATCCAGGTATAAAGCCAGCAGGGAACAGAAGTCTGGGAGACTCCATCTCCAATTAATTATCAAAAAAAGTGTTGGAGATGTTGCTGGTGATAAAGCACCAACCTAGCAAGCAGGCTGAGCAAGTAATGAGACTCTGAGTTCAAATCCTAGTACTACCAAAAAACTTAAAATTAAAAAGATACAAATATAGTAATAACCTAGTAGTAATACAAGAGTGCTGTAAAAACAAAGTTTCTATTACATGAAAGCTCTTTGAGCTGTGAATCAAGCCATACAAGCTCATGTGGAAGCCTGCCTCCTAACACTGTGATTGGGGATCATAAAGATACCTTGATAGGTTTTCACCTTTCTACCTGGTAGATGTATTGCTGCTACTTTGAACTAATTTAACATTTAAATTAAATCCTCGTAATCTAGTTGAATTTGTGTGTGTGTGTGTGTTTGTGTGTGTATGTGTGTGAATGAGCATTGTCGGATATCTATATATAAACTGTATATCTTCATATTTCACCTATCTTTTTTCTTCTGTTTGAAATTCTCCTTTTGTCACAGCCAGTCTTTCCATTTTACATTAGTCTTATAAGTCACTTTTGATTTCCATTTTCTAGTAGGCTTGTTCAGGCACTTTCTTTTATATTTCTTTTCTTTTTTTTTTTTTTTGGGTCCAGTCGTGGGGCCTGAACTCTGGGCCTGGGAGCTGTCCCTCAGCTCTTCAGCTCAAGGCTAGCACTCTACCACTTGAGCTACAGCACCACTTCCGGCTTTTTTCTGTTTGCTTATGTGGTGCTGAGGAATCGAACCCAGGGCCTTGAGCATGCAAGGCAAGCGCTCTACCACTGAGCCACCTTCCCAGCCCTTATATTTATTTTCTTATTGTACTGTTATTAACGAACTTAGTAAAATGTGTTTGGCTCACAGTAGCTTCATTTTTTTTTCTTTTTCTTTTAATATCCAGAAAGAGTCCCAGGCTCTCTAGAAAATGAGCTGAAATCCAGATGGGAGAACCTACTGGGTCCTGATTATGAAGTAATGGTATGTTAATATTTTCTAATTACCAACATTCACTTCTCATTTCACATCAAGCTCCTAATACTAACACTGGAAGAAATGGGTGAGTGGATGAGTCAAAGAATAGCCAGACTTCTTTCTTTTACTTCTGTCTTTCTTCCCTATTGGATCAATCAATTGATTTTTTTTAAAGCATTTTAAGCCATAAGAACAATTAAGGACTGCACATAAGCTTCAGTTACAATTAGCAGATATTCAGTTCATGTTGAAACCATTTAAGTTGACAATAGGCAGGAAAGTACTAGAGAGAGAGAGCTTGCCTTTAAATTTATAACCTGTATCTTCTGCTTAAAATTGCTGCCTCTTTTTAATGATTGCTTTTATGATTTGTTTGTTTTATTGCACCCTGAAAGGGATGTGGAAATTAGTACTGTTTCACAAAGAACCTTACAGTTTTATGAGAAAAATGAAGGAATGATTAGCAAATGTATTTAGATAAACAGGAAGTAATTTAGGTGGAGTGTAATTGTATAATACCTGTGATCTGTTAGATTTCCTTTCACTTGTGATTAGATTCATCTAGAAGGGACTTATTCCATTTTCCCATATGAATGCACATGAAGATAGAAAGTTTTGTTAGAAAGCTTATAACCATGTCCATCCAATGTGGTAATAATCAAACATTCTTTTAAATTCCTAATGACATTTACGTTTTCTTACATATGTTTCTCATTGACAATGGATAGCTATCTGGAGAATCTTTTTCTGTGTTTGGTTTTTAGTGTCTAGCCACTATCTATTGTTTGACAGTATCTAGTGTTGTTAAGATGAGTCATGGTACAAATTTTGTGCTTGCCTATCTACTCTTATAGCTGCTGCTTCTCTGCTTCACAGATTTAGAATGCTGTTTGTCATTAGACTGTCACCTAGCAAAAGGCCTTTCTCCTGTCCCCAGTGGTTTGATGCTCTGAGAAATGGAGAGTGCTTATATTTACTGATGATCTGTTTTGTCAGGGGCATATTGTTTAACTTCCATCCTCCGCATAAACCACCTTTTCAGATCTCATGGTGAGGTCATAGCAGGGAGACTAGACAGACTAGACAGAGGAGACGGAATCCTAGCTTCTCAGGAGGCTGTGATCTGAGGATTGAAGTTCAAAGCCAGCCTGGACATAAAAGTCTGTGAGATTCTTACCTCCAGTTAACTGTTGAAAAGCTAGAAGTGGAGCTGTAGCTCAAGTGGTGGAGTGCATTCCCTACCCCAAATTTGAAGTTGTTGAACTTTGTTTATTTTTTTGTGTTAGTACTGGGTACTCTCGCTTAGCTTTTTCACTCAAGGCTAGCAATCCACTACTTGAGCCGCTTGTCTGCTTTCAGTTTTCGGATTTTTGTTGTTGTTGTTGTTTTTTAAATTTTACTTTATTTTAAAGATGCTATACAGAAGGGTTACAGTTACATGAGTAAGGCAATGAGTACATTTCTTGTCAAACATTGTTACCCCCTCCTTTGTTGTTCTCCCATTATCCCTTCCTCCCCCTGCCTCCCTCACTTTCCCCAGTCCCTGAAGTTGTAGCTTTCAGTTTTTTCTCCTGGACTTTTAAGCCCAGACAGGCTTCAAACTGTGATTCTCATATCGTGGCCTCCTGAATAGCTAGGACTACAGGCATAAGCCATTGGTACACAGCTGAATTTAGAACTTTAAAGTGATAGCTTATTTATTCAAATTATAGCTTGTTCTGAGAGATGAAAGGCAGAAGGGAGAGGTGAAGCTGGATGGATGAGTGAATAAATGCAAGTACTCAACTATGATTTCACTTTCTTCCAAGTTCTACTTACTTAAATGCAGCACTTTAGAAGCTTTTGTTGGATCATTGTTAAACTTATCCCCTCTCTCCAGATGGACCATATTTTATTAACAACTTACAGATGCAAATCACTAGTAAATACTTTTGCTTGCAAGGAATTCACTTCTGTGGATGTCCACCATTGAAGCTCGGAACAATAGTTGTAGGCCAGGATCAAAGATTTGAATAGGTCTGGGAAGGTGGCTCAGTGGTAGAGTGCTTGCCTTGC